AATAGCTTGATTTTAAATTAGATGGACGCAGGTATACAAATATTCGATATCTCACATTCTGCCATTCTGTCACTCTAATGACCCTTTTTGTATATCGTAATCATACCCAAATATCCCCTTGCACTAATTGCGAGTCTACTACCTAAGCCAGAAAGCGAATAAGGAATGACAGCGCCGTCAATAAAAATTGTTATTTATTGCTACTATAACTATAATAACCCCTGAAACATTCGTGTGGCACGTTGGTCACGCCCAATGTTATTTTGGCATAATGTGTTGTTGTACATTATTATTAGTATAATCCCCGGGTGCTTTTATGATCTAATTACGCCACAACTGCGGCGTTTCCGCAAAAACCGGTTTCATGTCACCAGACCCAGACAGGAAGTTGGATAAAAAACCCCCCACCCCCACTCTCACGACAACAGAACTTTTGCTTTCGTTTCAAAAGCTATTCTGTAGAAATCATAACATATACAAAGATGACTGTATGCAGATTTTATTTGGAAGGCCGCTGTAATTTTGGTCAAAAATGCAAGTTCGAGCATAGACAGCCAAATAATTCATCAGAATTAAATAATCGTATTGGCTGGAATAGTAAGTCTTTTTACAACAAACGAAGATCTGTTCTCTCGACTAAAGATGCACGTTACTAACAGCTTCTCCTGTCTTTCCCTCGTATACAACAATAGCATACAATCAGCAATCACAAGTATTTGAGTAAGTTTCGACTTCGTCGACGGCGGTGGCTATTCTTCTGGAGACATTTCCGCCTGATGTGATATCCGCCTGTTGACGTTACTTTCCTGTGCAATACACAAAATTTTTTTTCTCAGTTTTAAATTATTATATGAAAACTTTATCCTGAATAATCTTTTACTAATGATCATAATCCTAATTCTACCCATCCAAATCCCATTCTGACCTTTATGATTCCATTTCGTGATTTGTTTTTTTTCATGTCCCATTCTCTTTGGCTATTCCATCAAATTTATTTAAATTTGGTTTTACTTTCGCCTCTTTTGTTTCCCTTTTCTATTTCCCTCTTTTGTTTCCCTCTTTTACGTTCCCATTTATTTGAATCACTAATCATACTCGCTGATAATAGTGAAAAATCAATAAGGACTGATTTAACAAAAGAACGGCCACCATGGCCATACACAGTGTATGCTCCAGCAAAAGAGGAGCCGAATTTAATAGAAGGGACTGATATCTCGCCAGAAGAGTTGAGATTTGAGTTTTTAAAGTTAAAAGATTTCTGGATGTACGGTGGAGAAATGCAATATGTAAGCATTTGATGGATGAATCATAACTTGTTTGAGAGGTTGGGCGTGGTATTGTTATTTGCTGATTGTTGGTGAGTTTCTTTGCTGCAACTTTTCTGATATTTTGATTTATTTTTTCGATTTCTAGAACCAGGGTGTTGCACAGCTTAACAACGTAATGAAACAAAAGACAGACGATGTGTTAAAAGACCTGCGAAACGCTATACGAACGTACCAGAACAAGACAAGACAACAATCGGGATTTAATTCATCGAACACTTTTGGTGGTGGCAGAACACAACCCGGGAATACAAGTCAGCAGCAATCGACTACATTCGGGTCCAACAGTGGATTCGGTCAGCCGCAACAGAGCGGGGCGTTTGGCCGGCAAAGCGGATTCGGAAGCAGCGGATTCGGGCAGAATGGATTTGGAAGTAGCGGATTTAACCAGCAAAGTAACTTTGGAGGATTCGGCCAGCAACAACCGTCACAACCGAGTCCGTTTGGACAACAACCGGGAGCAGGATTCGGGGTTACTCAACCGAGTGGAGGATTTGGGGGGTTTTATCAACAACAACCCCAACAAACTGGACCTGGTCTCGGAACTCCACAACAACCGCCACAGCAGAGTAATACATTCGGTACATTTTCTTCTATAGGAAATCCGCCAGCTCCAACTTTTGCTCTGACTGGCCCTGGAGTATCGAATACTCAGCAGCAAAATCCGTTGGGACAATCAATACAAAATCCTTTTGGAACTCAGCAACAACCGAGTCTATTTGGCGGTGGTGCGCAAGGCGCAAAACCAGATGGGATGTCCGAGTATTTTACTGGACATGTGCCGACAAGTCCACCTCAAAATCACTATTGAAGTGGAATGGATGTATCGGTGTCTGAAAGTTGATAATAGAATCTAGATTGGAGACAATTTTCCCTATGTTCGCGTATATGTATTTACTTGGCATCTGTAAAAAGTTTAAATAGTCAGAGAATAAACAATGAGAGCATATCTCTATAATAGTGATCACTAGTACAGATGTGTATAATAGCTGTTCATAGATGTTGATTGATTTTTATTACCATCGAACAAATACTTTATTAATAACTAATAAGTATTAAAATGAAAGTAATCACATGAAATCGGTTGTGTTGGTTTTATTGTGTGTGATAAAAGCATTCTTCCCGCTAATTGTTTAGGGTGCCTGTCAGATGAGTGGATTTTCAATCGCCATCTACGCTGTTTTCTGCTAGTCAGTTTACGCCCTGTATTAGACCAGTGTGTCAAACCATTGATCTTTTGACCCGAAGATCTCTTACCCATTAAAGTTATTATTGTGTTTCAGAATTTTTGATTCGATTCGTTTGATCGAACCGTGTAAGATGATAGATTGTTTCGCCATCGGGAAAGTGGTGCAATTATAGTATAAATGATTTATTATAGCCAACGTTATTTCCCGCCTTCATTACTACAAGTATTGTTATAAATAGAGACTTTGATACTGTGAAGTCTTAAACTATACGGTATTTGTCTAAAATGGCAACTCCGTACAATATGCTCTATTGAAATGGAGTGTTCAAAGTAATACGGTTTTCCTCAAATAATTTACTTTACAGTGCCTACGTTGTTGACAAGAAGGGTTACTACAAAACCAGTTTGTATGACGCTGTGTATATCCGTCCATTCACTTTATTGCGCGCCTTCACTTTCGTTTCGTGAGCCCCGAATGTTAGTGTAAATTCCACTTCTCTCTCTGTGTAAGGATCAGGCAAATCCTAAAGCATAAAAACATAGAGTTATTATTGGGAGAAGAAGTGACTTTCACTACTGCAGCTATAGACATAAATTTACTATCTGTCGTGTCATAACGTTGAGCTTTGCCTATACTTACAATTACCAAGGTTCCAAGAAGCTCCGTTCCTGGATCATCACAATATGTCACATCGTCTTGTGAAGTCGTGTAGACACTAAGTCTCAGGCTGGTTTGACTGGGTTTAAATGGAACTACGTCCTGCAAGAAACTCTTATCAACTGGCACTTCGGTTCCTCGCTGAGCCATCGTATGGAAATAATACACGCCACCAGAGTCTCTCTTGCGTTCAATCGGATGTTTGAAAGACCAAGTTTCAGTCAGCTCAAGACCGTATGTACGCTTAAGCACACGCGTCTCTACAACAGATTTATTTATTCCTGCGAATAATATTGAAATTCTACGTTATGTGGTGCTGAAAGATTATTAAGAACGGTTGAATACAGCATTCTGACGTACCATAAAAGACAGCTCCATACATTACTGCTGCTATTGGATGAGGTGGTGATGCTATGGCTGATACTCGACTATCAAACTCTTTCTTTATTTTTTTGAATAGATACTGTGAAGTAGAGAATCCGCCAACAACAAACATTGCGGAGCATTTCTTACGGGTTGCAGACAGCTGCTTCCGGATCAAAGCACAGATTTTCGTTACAACCGGGTCAAAGAAGCTCTTGACAGTTTCATAATCCAATTCGATTATCCATTCATCTTCTTCAATCTGTAGCCTCTCACTTCCTTTCACATATTGTTTTATTGCTGGGCATAATTCCTCCAGATCCATTTCTTGACATTTATAATCCTTGGGGTTATCGTTGAAATCATACTTGATTTGTGAGCAGAAGCCTTGTATCAGATATTGAAGTTGCCCGTAATGATTCTCTTTTAACATTTCCACAGCAGATGCTCCAACTTTTTTTCCGACATACTTAAGAAATTCTTGGTCAACGTACGATCCTCCACAGAATTCGCCTGTCCTCTCCGTAGCCTCAGTCAGTTTGCCATCCGCCTTTATTGTTCGCATGGTCAGGTCCACTGTTCCTCCTCCGCAGTCAACGATGAGGAAAGACTCTAT